TCCTCGCTAACCATGATATACAAATGGTAGAATATCTGTTTAGTAAGTCTCGGTTGTACTTATGAAATTGTTATTATACTGGCGGTCGACGTCGTCAACTGGGACCTTGCTTGCCGATATGTTACTTGACACATTTTATTTGCATGATGTCGTAAGAAAATGAATTCATTGGATTGTAGTTAACTCTTTTTGGTATCATTCTCAATATAATTGTCTTTTTCTGGTACTCTTGACGGTCTTTCATAGGATCAGCTTCCGAGAGTGGGAATTTTGCACGAAGCTCGTTGCTGGCATCGTCGCGTATCGCGCTGGTTGTTCCCTCGGCTTCTACCCTCTCGTTCTGCGGAGACGTCGCTGACAATGTTGGTTTGATAAATATGGTTAGGTCTTCCCGGGCGTAAGGCTTGTGTGCCCAATACGGAGAGTTCATCTCGGCATCTGGATGGGGACAGTGGCCTCACTGGCGCGGAGCTAGTAGCCAATTGGGACAACCACGGGCCGCTATGGGGAACGTGGCCGGCATTCTCTTCCGAGTGGAGCAGATGAGGAGAGGCGACTACTGCATCGATGGTCATATCCCGGACAAGCTCATTTCTGGAAACGTGGGTTGATTGCTACCGCTGTGAGCAATCATGTTAATGTCCACCGGTCGTTGGTTGACGACAGGTTACAGGTCACTTCCGGTCGTGGCTCAATGGGATTGAACCTGGCGACATCAGACCCGATACTTTGGTATTAGCCCCGGAGACTGGGAAAGATATCATTTCGCAATAATACGACACGGCAACGACTTGGGTGTAATGTTGGAAAATTAGCGCATAAGAGCAGCACCCTTCATGTCAGATGCGACGTCTCTACCGGTATAATCTGGAGTCTTTCTTTCGGGTGCTCGTCTATCAGGTCCTGCATTCACGGCCATCTGAGAAGGACCATATACGTCGTTGGCAAACTGTCGATCACGGTGCTTGCCAATTATTTAAACCGGGTTTCCTCAGACAAAGCTGTGTGGAACGTCGTTGGACAACTTTTGGAGTGGTTGCATCATATGCTGAATATCATCAAGGTTTAGGCTTGGTCCGCGGACGAAGGTAGAGAAGATAGGCTGGTCGTCATGGCATGGAATGATCTTCCCTTCACATGATAGTGCCCATGAGCGGTGGAACTAGTAATTGCGTCCGCTATCGAAGGCTTTCACCTGATGTCGGCAAGCGGATCAGGAATATTCATGATTCACGATGACAATTATCATAGTACTGCGAAATACGGTACATTTGATTTATGTACTATCATTGCATTAGTAATGCAACTTTTTCAGTATCTGGGCTCCCTATAGTGCACATTTTACCGGAATGTCTCGGAGTTTTCACCAGTTGATGCAGAATGTTTGAAAGTACATAATGAGTTTCAAAAGCTCAGTATGTCAAGAATTGAGCAATAATGAGAGCAAAACAAAATCGCAACAGAAGTGCAACTGTTCTCCGAGGCATGTTACGTCGACCGTCACAATGCCGCACATGCCGTTTTCTTTGTCCGTCCAGCGTTCAGTGGCTGGACTGCCCAGTTATGCCAAGTACGCCACCACTACCATCAGCTGAGTCAAGATTCACGACGCCAATTGTGGCTAAATGTCACAGAATTGAGTTGCTACCGTTCGACACAGGATTCAGGAGGGGTTCACTATGCAGATTATTCCGGAGAAATTATAATTGAGGCGTGTATGTTCTTTACATAGCTATGGTGAGTTATTATGTCAGTCGGACATGGCAATCACCCACCCGAGGCCACTTTTGGTCGAGATGTAGTGCTCAAAACGCACTCGCGAGGCATTCGAGTCGCTCTCGTATTTTTCATTCATACGAAAATCACACGATAGTGATAATAATTGGAATTTGTATCATATGTGATTAGGGAAGAGCAGCTGTAAGTTCAGTAATTGCACTACCGTTGCGATTGCATTACTGGTGCAATGATAGTATTGTCTACGTATTTTTTGGTAATAGAACAGGGTATCGTGCTGATATAGTTCTTCCGCTGTCACTGATACAGTATATGATCTACAACCACGGCATGCATATAGATGTCTGTCTGCGCCTGACTCAATGTTCACATTTCAAAAAATTTTACTTGGGGGAATACAGTACGAAGTAAGGCCAAATTCCGTCTGCGATAGTGAGAAACGCCACCATGGCATAGGAAGGTCCATGAGCTGTAAACTCGCAATGATAAACATCAAGATTCGTGTCCATATCCGAGAACTACCAAATTCCGCTATCATACGGGAACAGCCTGCGGGACAAACGCCCGCGTAGTTCCATCCTATGGAAGCATACTGGTACAACGAATTTCTGCAAACTGATGGGATTTTGTTACGTCTCCTCTGGTATCACCCTCACAGGGACTTGTGCAATCCCAAACTCAAGATGTGGGAGCTGACCTTCTTCACCCATACTGCATGGACCATGGGGATTCGGCATGGCGACTAAGAAAGCCAGATTAAATTTCTGTCCGTCGACGAGGGCACAGTTCGACGCCAGGTCGATTGGAGACGTTACAGGCGGTTGGGAGGACGCATGCGGAGTCATGTTGAGGTCCGAGTCCTGCGAGAAGGCTGAGCTGGGCGGCAGGACAGAACGAATGGCCCTCGAAGACAACTGATGCCATGCAGAGAGCAATGTAGGTCGTGCGGGAGGCTCTGATGAGTTCTCGGCGTCCCTAGAATTCAAGCTGTTGCGGATCAAAGCCCCTGCGATAGGCTATAGCATTCAAGTGAGTGAGTGAGCCAGGATAATGTATGATATGTGAATCACCATCGTCCCCCTCCACCAGCTTCCGGTTTCCATATCACTTCCACCGGCATTCTCGTACCTAATTTTCTCTTGGATGCCGCTCCGGAACGAAAGGTATGCGTCGTGCAGTTTTGGTTTCTCGCCGAATTTGCGCGCCCGCTGGGATGGAGGGAAGTAGTTGCCATTCTGAATAGCCTCCTCTATAAGGAGACGTTGGCGCCTCCGCAGTATGTATGAGCGCACGACGATCGCGGCCGAGACGGATAACAAGAGAACCAAGGTGGCTGCAGATTAAATCAGCGATCGCCGCGACTAGGCAGCGGCCTCTGCCATGCTCACCTAGGAAGGTGTACACTGTCATCATAAGAGTGAGTGAGTTGATAAGGATATCAAATATGATATTGGAGACACACAATAGAGGGAAGCAGACGAGGTCAGAGACGTGGTGCTGCCAGAAGTGGTCGTCGTGGATGGGGCGGCTGATGTGGTGGAGGTTGGCGAGGAGGAAGTGGTCGTCGACATCGTCAGAGCGTGGCAAGAACAAGATCCAAGCGATCGTCTAGGGCGATGAGGGCTGCCGCCTCAGCCCCGAGGCGCAAGAGGTCGTGTCGTCTATGGGTAGTATACAAGAAAGCGAGCGGCCTGGGCTGCTGACCGTACCAGCGATCGAGAGAGTATCGCTACGCCGAGGCGAAGGACGTGGGGGTCGTAAGCAAGCAGTCGCACAGCAGCCTGAGAAAGAGAGAGAGCGAGAGATATTCGCCACTCGAAACTTCGACTTGGTCAGCCACCACGCGCTACCTCGCATTCAGGGCAGTCCCCGCGCCCGAAACACCTTCGCAACAACGCCACTACTGGGTTGCTCATCTGAATCAACAGTTTCAGGACCTGAAAAAGCAAGGAATCCGACATATTTCAGCCTGCCTGCGACCTCAACTCACCACGTCTGCTCTGATTCAAGTCACCCCTCATTGCCACAGTCGCGACAGCAACGGCGACATCCACGACATCTGGCCGCAGCATCCGACAACACCAGCACGATTCATGATGAGTTCTAATCTGATATCAAGGTACCGGTGCGTGTATGATATGTACATTGTATTAGCGAAAACATGGATCCTGGTGCATGTCGGTACACGTGCATGACGACCCTTGCAAGGTAAATCGAATTCGAAATGTAGATATCAATTCTTCTATCCTTTGCATCAAGCGCGGACCCAGCGCATTTCTGGGTCTTGGCTATCGAGCCTGAAAAGGATATGGCTTCCATCGTATCTTCTACTCAGGGAGCGATGGCTCAGAAGGACGTGAATCTTTGATCAGATGTATGTTTGGTAACTCGGGACCACCCTAATAATTCCTCTGATTAAAATTAATTTTCCCTCATGCAGCTTTCTGTGTGCATTCACGCATTGGGTAGTCATGTATGATCCGATCTAAGCCTGAGAAGCTTTGGAATACAGAAGAAATGCTCACTGTCAGCTAGGATTATGTGTAGACGCTGTACTGTCCGGGCGTAGCGGCGACGAATAACATCTGCGGATGCAGTACGAAGGTGCGTGATTGTAATATCCGATAAGACAAAACTGGGCGATATCGGGTGCATTGATCAAAACTACCCTCTCCTTTTGATCCAGCTCGCCGGAAGACCCAAGCCTCCAACCACGCAATTGAGATTTGAACCGAAATTCAAAGTGATATAAAAGAGACCACTTAGTAATAGCGCTTCCGTCCGTGCATCGATGCGGTGTCCGCATATAAAATACGGACTGCGTAATGTTCCATTATCCCAGCACAGAATTGTTCAGCCGCTACTATCGTCTTCATCATCTCTTCCATCTACAAGGCCGCAATTAATCAATTTTGTTTCTCGATTCATCGTTGTGGTCACCGTGCGCATGTTTCACTTTTTTCCTTTCCAATTCTGACATCAGCTCATGTAGACAACGATGAACATAAATATGGCAATCATGCGAGAGCCAGTTATCAAACATCATACTAGAGATGTTCGCCAGTTGACTCTCAAGAAGATGCTGATTTTGCATGCAACATAGCGGCGATGCTGTACCACTGCATTAGAAGCCCGCTGAGCCTCAATCAACAAGCCAATGCGCGCCTCGCTTGTTCACCATGATGTTCGTCGTGTTGAAGGGCTCCTGCTCTTTGAAGCCGAAGATGGGGCTGTAGGTCAACCTGTCCGTAATGTTATCCATTCCCCTTTTCGCAAACGGAATCGCTTGAGATATAGCTGCGGCGTGCAAGCAATACGGAACTGCTCGAATGGGCTCAGTTTATTTCTGCATTCATACTGCACCCGACCCTCAATATGGTCCGCGATCATCCAGTTGAGATTGTCGTAGTAGAAGCGCGGGACTAGTCTATCTGTGTAAACGCGCGTACTCCATGCTCGCCCTCTCGCACGGAGAAGGGTATCTGGTAGCGAGCGAAGCTGTGATGAGGTAGCTGGGTACACTGTCCTGACACTTTCGGTCGTCGATGGAGGTCTCCCCCCATTCTTCGATGGAAGGATTGGCCAAGAGGTAGACGACTTCGTCGTCACCCCCATCGGTGGCAGGATTGGGGTTTTCTACAAAGTTCAAAGCAACACAGTAAGACAAATATCTTGTTGTGGATGAGGAAGTCTGAGCATTGCAGCTGTGGAATCCAGAGCTAGTGACAGTGGCACCTTCGCGCCATTTGCAAGCCATTGAGAGGCCGTCTTTCTAGAAGATTACGACTTATTGAACAATCGTCAGCGGACGCATGAGTTCTGGCCCGACAGACGAATATAACGAAGTCATGAGACGAGCGACACTACCGCCTGTCAGGTTGACAAGCACAAAGCTCGGCGCTGTAGAAACAAGCACAGTGGTAGGAACGCTCCCGAGTCGTTAAGTTGATGTCAGTACGAGAGCAATTCCAGTGCGAGATCAATCTTCGTTCCCACGATGCAGATGGAAGACGAGCCTCGAGACCAGGTGCAGGCCTGGATTTCTCAAGGACAGCTGCGGCCTAAATGGTGACCAGAATTGAACACAGCAAGTATTAAGTATATATCAAGAAATCACATTTCTTGTTCGTTCACGACAATAAATCATTCATGCTCACGTTGATGAGAAGTGCACTTTGTCGCCCCAGGGACCCATCGTAGAGCAGACAGATTGTGTCCCACGTACACTCACCAAATAAGCAACGAAGGTCGTTTTCCCAGAAGGCCTTCACCTGCTTGCAGAATTGTCATGATACTACGAGATCAAAGACCTAGCCAACCTACGCATGTCGTATTACTATGCGAATTGTTGACGCTGACATGATAGGTTTCAATCAATCTGAAAACCTAGGGATTTGGCATCCTTTTCCAGTTGCAGTACATACGTTCTGCTGCTTTCAGTCGTTACTTTGGCATTGCGCGCCAAGACCATTGTATAGCACATGTGGATCGCGAAGATTTATTCAGGGCGATCCAGGAATGGACATGGGCTTAGTAACACTGCTGTCTATGACAGTAGAATGCGTGTTAGTTTCCTATACCAAGCATTCTGAATGCTGGTAAAGGGGAGCTGCACAAGTCGCTTGGCCCAAAAACCATACGGCCGTACTCCCATCGCTAGATGCACGGCAATAAAATGGCAGACCATCACAGCAGATCATCACAGGAAACTTTCCCCCATGTATATGCAGCAGCTACTAACAGGAGACTAATGGGCTGATATCTACGAACGATCGCGCTCTGCTTTGGCTTTCGCTGCAGCCTCCAATTCTGCAAATGTCCCACTCTTCAGACACATGTTGCGAAATACTCCATCCTCTTTCCGAATCAGATTCAGTGGAGTATCGAATTCCACAAGCTCTCCTTTATCCAGGACAATCAGGCGATCGTAGTCAATGACGGTTCGGAGCCGATGGGCAACTGTCACCAAAGCGCGTGAGCATTGACCAAAGAAAGAAGAGAAGGGAAAAGGTATACAGTACCTGTCAGCAACAAGGAATCATTGAACTCTTCCCGGATAGTTGCCTGTATCTTCGCGTCAGTTGCAAAATCGATGCTGCTTGTAGCTTCATCCAACACAATAATCGAGCTCCTCCGTAGCAGGGCGCGGGCCATAGCGATCAGTTGTCGCTGGCCTTGGGAGAAATTCGAACCGCCTGGCGATACCTGAGTATCAAGCGAGATCATGGTCTTCGTGTCGGTCTCGGTTGCTGCCGTGGAAACAGATGCAATTGTTCCCTCTCGACCTTCATGCATGGAGGCAGCTCTCGAAGGCATGCGTGATGTCCTCTGAGAAGCCAACCGACTGTCTGTCATCATTTGGACACGATGCAGAACATCGAGACATTCACTGTCTTCATGCTCGCCTATTCGCACATATTATGAATAATCATTATGATAGTTAATGAACAAAGAATTACCGAATGGGTCCAAATTATCACGCAATGTCCCAGAGAATAGCGTCGCGTCCTGTAGTCAATGAGCTAAATAAGACACGCGATATACAACGTTACTCACCTGAGGAATGAAGGTCTGAGAAGAGAACATGGTCAATGCACGATCAAATAGTTGCGAATGAAATTAAACTCACGATCCTAGAACGCAGATCATGCAATCCGATGGTGGAAATGTCTATTCCATCTATCAGAATTTTGCCGTCGGTTGGGTCAACCTAGCTCCCAGATATGAGTAACATCGAGATCAATTCATATACTGACGACTCACGAAGCGCAGGATACTCATAGCAAGTGTCGATTTTCCACTTCCAGTTCGGCCCAGTAGCCCTACTCGTTCCTTGGCTCTAAGGTTGAATGAGACGTCTTGCAAGACCGCGGGAAGCTCTGGAGCGTATTTTATGGTTAGATTCTCGACGCTGATGAGTGAGTTCTGATTGTGACCAGTGGAGGATGGCCAGTAAGCAGGCGGCCGGCTGGATTCAATGAGTGCTGGAGCCTCTTGGGGAAGATCTAAGTATTCTACTACGCGCTCAACGGAACTGCGAGGCGATGTCAGCGGTCAGCGTGCCGGGACAGAGACAATATCTTACTTGAGGTCTAGTTCCAGAGCAGTCCAGAAGCGGCAAGCCCAGTACACACTTGAACTGAAAGCCATAGCAGATGTAATGCAGACACCAGCAGTTCCAGCCTGAACATATCCCGCAAGGGCAAAAAGCGTCGTAGCAAGGACACCAACAGCACCCAAAATGCTGAAATGGAGTGATAGCCATCTATTAGTCATCCAGAACGTGTACCACATCTTATAAGATAATGAGTTTAAAGTGTCCGAGTAGGCGAAATAATGCGCATACCTGAGTTGTGAGATCAACTTTGGCATAGAGGTCATTCAGAAAGCTTTGTTCAGCGGAGAACGCGCGAACGGTAACGATTCCTTCCAATAGCTCATTGAAATTGGCAAAGATCGGGCTCCTAGAGTTCGACTCCATGCGACGAATATCACGACCGGTATTCAAGTAGCCAATAGCTGCGAGACGGTAGAAGTATCCGATGACTGAAGCTGGCACGATAAAAAGAGG